ACATCCAAAGAGGAATTTTTTCATTGATCTTTTAAGGCGTACAATACAAGCATCCCATGGCAAAGTTGGTAAAGCCCCTACATGGATGAACCATCCACCATGTAGGGAAATATGGACGTCTCGAAAATGAGGATCGGATCCCCAAATGGATTATCTCATTGATCTTTAGAAGCATACGACACAAGCCTCCCATGGTAAAGTTAAACGTCATGGGAAAAGCTCTTACATGGGTGACCCATCTACTATGTAGGGAAGCATGGGCACCTCGAAGATGAGGATCAGAACCTAAAAGGGATTACCTCATTGGTTCCCCGAGGCATACAACACAAGCCTCCCATGATGAAATTGAATGTCATAAGAGAAGTCCCTACATGAATGAACCATTCCCATGCAGAGAAGTATGGGCGCCTCGAAGATGAGGATCAGATCCCAGAAAAGATTACCTTATTAGTTCTTCGAGATGTACAGTACAAGCCTTCCACAATGAAACTGAACTTCATGGGAGAAGTCCCTACATAGAAGAAACATCCACCATGTAGGGAAGTATGGGAACCTCAAAGATGAGGATTGGATCCCAAGAGGGATTGCCTCATTGGTATTCCAAGGCATATAGTACAAATATTCCATGACGAAGTTGAATGTCATGGGAGAGACCCCTACATAGATAAATCACCTCGGAGATGATGATCAGATCCCAAAAGGGATTACCTTATTGATCCTCCGAGGCATACAAACACAAGCCTCACATGGCGAAACAACGTCATTGGAGAAGTCCCTACATTAATGAACCATCATGGGAAATCATGGGTGCTTCGGAGACGAGGATCAGATTCCAAAATGGATTATCTCATTGGTTCTCTGAGATATACATCACAAGCCTCCCATAACGAAGATGAACGTCATGGAAGGAAAAATAATATTAAAGAATTAACGTGTTTGAAAGATAATTTGTCTTTAGAGGTCATTATATTTACTTTAATTCAACTTGTAAGTTGTATAAGTTATGCACCTTATGGAGGTCGTAACACTTGCAAGTTATATTATTTAAGTTATGCTCTTTAGGGAGGTTAAGATAAATTATATTTGCTATGNCTCTTTAGGGAGGTTAAGATAAATTATATTTGCTATGAACATTATTTAAATCATAACTTAAAAACAATAAATTAAAGAAATATGCACACTAATAAAGGAATTTGTACAAAGGAGGGCCTCAGCCATTACATAGAAAAAAATCCTATACTATGTTGGAGTTGACACGGAGTCTGATGCCTCTGTAGCAGGTGCTTCAATAGTTGGAGCTTCTTGGCCTGAAGTTTCATCTTCAAGAGCACCATCTTGGTCCTCTGCTTCCACTACATCATCAGCTGGGGTTTGGGGTACTTTCTCCAAAAGCTATACTCTCAATTTTGAATCATTGAGTTCTGGGTAAAGCTCTCTTACCATCCTATCTACTACTTCGACATAAGCAAACCTCATCCAATGGGGGACAAAGCACTGATACTCTTCCATCAAATGGAAGTTGGCAATGTAGTCCCTCACACCTCTTCACCTATTTTTTGAGCATCAACATTGGCCAGCTCAGACTCTTTTATATAGTGTCTTATTTGGGTCTCTAAACATCCATTAGCATCCTTGAGCCCAACATTTTCTAAATTGGCATTCTCCAAAGCTTTAGCCGTTAGCTTCTGATGATTGTTTGAAGTTTCAACCTTCTTTATCAAGAAAGCCACTTCGCACTGGGATTCATAGACCTCCGTTTTCAGAGCTTTGATCTCCGCTAAAGTAGAATCCAACTTAGCTGCCTTTTCAGCTCACTGGGCCCTCAACTTTTTAGTCTCAAATTTTATTTTCTTCATTTTCTCCTTCGCTGAGGCTAACTTTTCAACCAACTAAATTAAATACTAAATTAAAGTCCAACTCTAATTTCAAGAAAACATTAAGGGCGAGAGAATTTTTAAAAAATCAAATTTTAATTAAATGACAAATTAGAGTAGGGTGGATAATTTAATTAAGGTTAATTTTTAATTAAATACTAAATTAAAGTCCAACTCTAATTTAAATTGAATTAACATTTTAATTTAAGATAAAACTCCTAAATAATATAAAATTCAATTTAGGATCAAAATTTAATATTTAAGTTAAAATTCGACTTTAATGAAAATATAAAAGATCGTCAATTTTAAACGGATCAAAATTAAAATTTTAAGGTCAAATATTTTAAAATCTAATTTAAAACCTCTTTTAAATTTAAATTCAAAATCATTTTGAAAATTGCAATTTGACCCATTTATAATTTATTAATAGAGCCCCATTATTTTTGAAATTATAAATAGGTCCTTGTTTTAAAATTTACAGACAGTCCTTAGAAATCTCAAAAATAACGATTAGGCCCTTGTGTTAAAATTGCTTTATGACCCATTTTATAATATTGCAAGCAGGGGCTCGCAACTTCAGAAATTGCAAAAGAGGCCCCATTCCCCAAAATTCACCCTGATTGTTCAAACCCTAAAATTCCCAAAATAGGGGTGTCAGCGCTTCTTTTAACACCATTACGTAGACCACTCGTCACCCTGTAACAACGGTGCCTCTGCAGGAGCAGACGCATAATTTAAAAGTTAGGGGAGCATAATCGAACTTGCAATCGAAAATTTACGTCCAAAAAAATCATACTCCACGTAATTTTACATCCAAAAATTTACATGGGGTATGACTTATTCGGATGTAAAATTTCGAATATTTTTGATGTCAAATTTCATATAAAATTTCCTAATAAAATAACTATTTTCGATATTTGTTTGGACTATTCGATATGTCCATAATGTATTTCTAGAAATAAGTTTTGATATGATATAAGTAATTTGTAAATTCGATTAGCGTATGTAGTGACCAAGAAAAAAAATGTTATGTTGTTTTCAAATAAAATTTTCTTGTATAACTCGTAAATATTTTGAATTATATTATGATATCGCTACGACCATTCCTAAGAGTTAGAATTTTTT